CACATTTCCTTCCACCTGTGTCTCCCTAGCTTTGTAAAAATTATATTCTTAGGTCTTGCAGTGTAAAAGTAAAGTCTGAGCTCCTGAGAGAAGTCAGTATCATTGCTGTGCACAAAACCCACACTCTGATATAGAGTTGTTTTAATACCTCCAGCTTCTATTTGAAGATCAAAAATTGGCATAGGGGACCCCGTCCTACCATCCTTAGTTCTACAGCTCCCATCAAAAATCCGTGATGCAGTTTAGAGAATACATCTAAGTCTAGTTCAGTTTGGTAAAACTGAATCATAACTGACTTTATTCCAATAGTGGCTGCACCATAGTCTTAGGTCCAAAGAGCATCAAGAAATATTCTGCCCCTTCCTAATACTTGTGATGGTTCCTGCCAAGCAAGTTGTAGAAATGGGTATATGTTCTCATAGAGCAGCCTGTTGGTCTGCAGTGCTTTAGGAGGGGGACAGGCTGTGGGGCAGCTCTGGGGTAGATCAGCTGGGAGACCCCGCAGGAGCCATGAGTGACACTGTGGACAGGTCTGTGCCACCTTGCAGGGGAGTAGGGTGTGAGGTGTGAGGATGGAGAGAATGGGGATAGTCAGAGCCGAGATTACCAAGACGAAGTTGGGTGAGGTTGCTGCATTGAGGGAGCAGGACAGTACATGTGAATCCCATGAGAGTGTGGGGAGGCAGGGTAGTTGATGGGGAAAAGGAGCAAAATATAGGGCAACTGGTTAAATATAGGGCATTGGATATGGTGGTCTAACTGCAACTCAATCAGCATGCAGAATGCAGCGTAAGGCTGCATCCTTCTAGCTGCAGATGGGAGAGGAAGAGGAGGGGAACACCAACTTTGAGGTCTTCACAACCATGAAGAGAAACAGAGTTGGTTCCTGAGGAAAAGTGGTTATTAATCACTGAGTACATGGCCAGAAGAATGTAAAAAGACAAACATTTGTTATGTCGGCGTGTTGTGATACTGGAATAAAAGTGGACTCCTTATGCTTTTTAAATAAGTATTTACATCTCTTTTTCATTTCCTATTCATATTATTTTGGTGCACTCTGATTTAAATACATAAATTTGCAAAAGAAAATCTGTCTCCAGAAGTCCAGATACTGTGTTATTTTTCCTGACAGATAATAACATTGAACAATAAGAGTTGCTACCATTAAAATACAGACATATTGTAAAAGCCATTTAATTTCCCAGTGGCAAAATGCAAAATGTTCTAAGCTGGGTTACCTTACTACTAATCTTTGTAAAGCTGTTTCTTGTATTTTGCAAGGGATTTCTGTAAGGTACTTACCGGAAGACTCAAAAATTCGTTAAAGTAGTCCACAAGCATATCATCTGTGGCTAAGCATTCTTCCTACAGAGAGACAAAACCACAAAGCAAAGCTTGTACTAATCTGTGCTAACATGGTTTTAATGCACTGTTGCCTCAAACAATGATTTTTCCATGAGATATGACATGCAAACTTTTGCAAAATGTTATTTCCCACCTTTGAGAATATAATCATTGCATCATTGTTATATTCTAGCCATTGCACACAGCTGAGCTCCTTAGCAATTTAAAAAACACACGTGAAGGTAAATCCTTTGCCAAGAAATTTACAGATAAAGCCTTCATAAACCCAACAGCTTCTAAATGCTGGAAATCTGCATGTTTACTTTTGAAAAAATGTGCATAAGCTAATAGTCTAGAAATTCCCCACATTATACCTTTCTCTGTCTCATCTGGGAAGGAGGGGAATATAAAAGTTCACCAAAGCCTGCTTCTGCTCCCACACTGCTGCTTGGGAATATTTTGGGGGATGTTTGGGGAATAAAAGGGAGTTCACTGATCTATAATTTGGCTCACCAAGCAAACAGTATATGCCATACTTGGAATCACAGAACTGGGAGGCTTCCTGTTGACTTCATCAGAAGTGAAGGCTGCATGTGCAGGTGGCTTTGTACCCTTTCTGACCCCTGCATTTTAAATCCTGCTAACAAGACTCAAAAACTGTGGAATAGAAACTAAATTTTTTTGCTGTTGACAAATCAGTAAGTATGGATCCCAATCTTACTTCTTATGCACTCAATAACACCCCCACCCCCATTTCAATTCAACAGAGGGTAAAAGTAGAACATTATTCCATTGGTCTTCAGAAATCTGTCTTCAGTATAATGAAGACTCTTGAACAGTTTTTAATAGTTTCAGTTTCTTAAATATTCTATGATTTCTGCCTTGCTACGCAAGGAGAATGCACCTAAATCAAATGTATTTGCCGATATCAGCAAAGGTCTTGTGACACAAATCTTTTTTCTCTTTCTTCAGTTCATAGCATTGAAATGTGCCAGTGAGGAATAGTGTTAAAGAGAGGTTATGCACAGTGTACATGGCATCACTTGTAGGCAGGCAGTATCTTGATCCAAACTCCACAGTGTCTAACCTAAATAGAGACAGCTTGTACGTAGGTAAGGAAGAAATCTTGAGCTAATCTACTTTAACAGGAACTCAGGAAGGCCCCTGTGTGCTGCCTGACAAGATCTGACGGTGTTTGTCTGGCCTTATTCTGCCAACATTTATTCCTTAGCACTTGTGGTTGCTGCTGTGACTGATACAGGACAGGCAAGTTAGCTCACACTCATTCCTGGAAAACGCTAACAACACTGAAAGCAAGGCTTTCTGCATTACAGAGATCGTGGGTTTTTTTGGATCACAGGCCCATGGTCCAATGCAGTTGCAGTACCATGGACCTAGAGATGTTAGCGCACTGACTAAATCAAAGTGTCTAACCCAAAGCATTTTGAAGTCAACAGAAAATCCTCTCGCTAATGTCACTAGGCAATCAATCAGATGCAGAAATCTCAATTCAGCAAGTGATAACACAATTAACAAAAAAAATCATTAGAAACAAGCTGCAGTCTGCCTCATGTTTGGTTTGGGTAATGCACAATTAGATTTGATGCTGATAAGGATGAATCTGAAGACAGCTAGATATGGGATAATACCCCATGTAAATATTTTATTGTTTCAAAGGACTTATTCAAAACAATTCATTTATTACTGGCTGAAGTATAAGCTCTTTAAGAATATGCAAATAATGTGTTTTTAATGTGCCAAGGATATAATTCTCTGTAGTCCCATATAACAGCAAGAAATGTAAACACAGTTGTTGATTAATCAATAAAATATTTATGATCTTACTAATGCAAGCTTTACTACTTACTGATCTTACTGCAACTATACACCATATACTTTCCTCTGGTTTTTTGAGGGGTTTTTGTGGTCAGTCTCATTTTCATTTGAAAGCATAGTTGCACTTTGATATTTGCACATTATAGGTTATGGAGTTGCATATACAATACTATAGCTTAGATTTTTGTGTTAGGAAGCATTTTGTTTCATTTCTTCCCATGCCATCTTTCCCGCTGCACAGTCCAAATTATGACTAGAAAAAGCTGACTTACAATTGCAACTGGAGGTCAAGGTGTGCTAAAAATTGGTCCAAAACTGCAGTTTTGCCTTCATGCAATTTGTGTACAAATAGCAATATCCTGGGCCTGGCTTCTATCACTTTTTTAACATTGAAAGGAATTTTAAAATCATTTTGGCAATGGTATTAGATATTTCTTAGATATTTTGTGGAAACAAACCTAATGACTTTCTATCTATAGTATTTGATAGCTTTCTCTACTACTGCCATCATGAAAAAGTACAGGAATATTATTAGACACCAAAGGAGAAGCTGAACATGGGCAAAAGTGGCACCATCTTGAAAGGTTTGCATTTCACACTGCAGCACCCACTAAAATGATAAATACCTCTCCACTCTTGAAAAATACATAATAAATGGCATCTTTAAATGTCAAAAGTTAAAGTTAGTACAAAACTCCAGTTCTGCAGAGAACTCTGACAGCTTCATGTCCTTGTGTGAAGTTCACCTGGAGTCAGACATGCCTAGTGACATTAAGTAGCCTGCAGAATCAAGGTTTAATGCAATGTAAATGTGCAATTGAGAGATGTTTTCATATATATGTTTGTTCTCATGTACATATTTATATTTGCTAAATATCTGCTATATATATATATCATTTATCTCTACCTGAATTCAGTCTTGATTCTGTTTATGATAATATATTAGTATCTAGAGGCTCCCAAAAGGAATAGCAATACATTTATACTTTAAAATACACAGTTACAAAGGCATCCAAAATGGGGAAGAGACAAACATTACCTAAGCTGCAAGATTTAAGGTGTTGTTTCATATGAGGTAACAAGTAAACATATGTACCTTTCAAATAAGAAGACAAACATCAGGGAAACCTACAATTAGCTATGAGCAAAGGGCAGAAAAGGTAAAGTAAGGAGAAGACTGTTAAATCTGTCATGTTGAACCTTTCAGTTGATTGTTTCCTTCCTTCATCCTATTTCACTTTCCTTTCCATTTCCATCCCTATTCTCCAGAGTTTCCCGTTTCCTTTTTTTTTCTAATTATTTTCAAACTAAGTATTTTTTTTGTCTGAGAAAATTGTAAGAAATTACTAATTACTCCATACTTAGACAGAGGAAAGAAATGAGAAACCAGACAATAGTTTCCAAAAAGTTTTTTTGCTTTTTTTCTCTACAGTTGCATGACAAAATGAGTGATCAAGCCTTACAAAGTATACTTACAAACACTTCTTCTGTTATACATGGAGGCTCTGAAACACAAAAATGAAATATCATGTGTTATCCAAGCAATACAATCAAGCTTGTTCAACTACGATTACTGAACAGAAACAAAAAGTAGTGAGGCATGACAACCTTCCTGGATATTCTGAAATAAAATAACTTAGCCTGAGGAAACAAAATAAAGTCTAAGAACATGGAATAATGTTGGCCCATGCATAAAAAGGTTGAATATCACAAGAATGATTTAAATATAATGAAAGTATTATTTAACCAGATTATTCTCATACATATCAGTTAACTTCTTTTCAGCTTTCTTCTGTAAAATGGATTATTAGAAGCTTGCTGGTTTTAATGAAAATAAAGATTTGTGTGAGACTCTGGGAGCCTTGAACAGCAAATATTACGAATCATATGATAAAATTAAAAAAAAAATTGTGGGCGCTCCCAGATAACCAAATCTCACTGATTCTAGGAGAATATTCCACCTTTTGTGATGCCATTTGAAGGGAGCAAAGTTCTCTCTTCAGATTCATGAATTTTGCTAGGCAAGTTTAAACCTAACAGTTCAAAATCTCCCTCTTTTGTACCACCGTTTCTGTACCTGAGACAATCACCCTGGGGTCAGACCCCCTGTCTGACATGGAGTCAGTCCATCACCCTGTGGAAAGCACTACATACCAGTGGTAAGCCTCTTCAGCTGCATTCTGGATCTACATACATAAGGGCCGGCACCCACACCTGCAAGCTTACGATCTCATTTGCAAAGGTGATATCCTTGACTGCAGACCAGAAATAGAAGCTGCAGAGTCCCTGGGCCTGGCTAGGGACTGCTGGTCTGCACCAGGGCAGGCGGGCCCTGCTGCGCGTCTCACAGCAAGCAGGGTTGCTATGGCACTGCAAACAATGCACGGGAAGAGCTGAGCAGTAAGCAAATACTTCTACTGCTGATGCAAAGCTCCCTGAAGCAGACTCGGATATCAGGCACGCTGATGATATGGTCCCAAAAGAGATGCCTGTGAACTAGGAATTTGAGGATACTTGCAGCAAGAAATGAAATTAAACACTCTTTTCTCAACCGACCTAGGCAGTTCTTAGTCCAAAATTATATTCTACCTTCTCCTATGTTAGCAAAACCCTTCAGCCACGTGGGATTTTGCCTTAAAAAAATCTCACACCATATGACTAATGACCAACAGATTTACATCATGTATCAAATAATTCTGCATCCATAAGCGGGCTGTAAGGCTTGATGCCGAGTAACAAAGTCATCCCTATCTATGGTAGAGAACTTCCACTGCAGCCAAGTAAGAAAAGGTGAGGAGCTTCATATTGCTAAGGCTGAGATGAAACCTGGGCTGTTTCCTAACAGGTACAAATGGCTCCATTGTGATGTGCCAGAAACACAACCTGCAGCCTCGGTAACAGCCTTCCCTGCTTCCTCCTGCTGCCAAGGCCCAGACCTAGCAGAAATCCAAAGGCATTTTCCCCCAGTTAGGGAAAAGTTTATAAATAGCCTAGGTGGAAGGAGAAAAGACATTAAGAGACATAGAATAGAGTCTACTCCCAGAATGTTAGTTTCTTCCTTGGCTCAAGGGGGTACTCCAGGATATAAGAAAAAGTCACATTTCTGGTATGGTCAGCGAAAGCTGTGTACAAAGAAGGAATTCAGGCTCCTATATGAGGATTTCAGTGGACTTCAGGTGTTCCACAACTGGGATCTGACAACATCCTACCTAGCGAGTATCTGATCCTAGAACTGCATAAATTCTTCAGACACCTTCAGGGTTTTTTGGCATGAAAGTTCCCTCAAAGGTTCTACTGCTGCTTATTTCCAGAACAGCACTGATTTCAGTAGCTTGGCATAAATCCCACTGGTATCAGTCGTACAAGATGTCATGTATGCAAGTTACATGAAGGGCTCCTTTGAGAAGCCTAATCCATCAGCTGTGCTCAGAAACTGCCCAAAATGCACCAAGATCTTCCCATTCCCTGCAAACTCTACCATTTGTGCCGCCTTTCACAGAACAGTATAGTATCTCCAGTCATACCCTTCAGCTGTGAAAAAAAGTTTTGTTTTAATTCATACATGACTTTGGTGGAATCCATGATCAAGTAAAAACAGAACAAATGCACATGCTCAGGGACTACAGCTTGAAGTCCAGGAATCGATGACTGTCAAAAATTACAAGCAGCAAATCAGATATCATAGAGGCAGGGAAAATGGCTTCATGTCCGAGAAACACATGGTATTTTGCACCCTCTACTCCAGATGTGCATTCCCACTCCTGGGGGTGCCTGCCCAAATACCACAATCACTGTTCTAATTACTAAATGCCAGAATAATGCCTCTTCTAATTGTCTTGGTGTAACGTTGTTAGCTGTTTGATTAGCTTTTTAGGGTGGAATGCTTTGTGGTGTCCCGTCCCCCCCCCCTTAAGGGAAGAAGAGTATTTCCAAAGACCTAAGAGATAAGCTGAATAATATCATAGCCAAGATACCCATTTCAGTCAAAAGTTTAATATATATGAAAAGTGTATTCAACAGAAGCAAAGAATAAAATATAAAGATTCAAACTTAAGTGAGCTATGGACAATTTAAATAGTATGATCAGTATTCTGAAGTATTAACTATCCTTATGTTCTCTGTATGCAAATTCTGTTCAATAAGACATCATAAACAGTGGGTTAACACTGAATGGCATACATTTAAACACATGATTTCTTAGTGCCATGTATCATTGTGATTATGAAATATTTCAAATAGGTATACCTAATACATATGTAAGAGAAATATGCATAACAAGATGGCCCATAAAATGTAAAGTGAAACCTTTCCAACAGGTAGAATAATTGCACTGCATTATATATGAGACTGCATTGTCTTATAACCAAACTACTTAATATGATTTCAAATGTTTAAGCTAATGTTCACTCCACTCCTTTTCCCCCTGCCCCTTTTTCTTTCTGATGTAGGTTTAGACATAGCGTTTGATGTATAACATTCTCCTAAACTTCCCTAGTTGCTTGTAATTTTTGAAGCAAACACAACAACAGAAACATGACGAATGCATCCTTTTTAACATTAAAAGTGGAAGCCACAAGTCAGCTTCGAAAGAATTGAAGTTTGGAAATGAGACAATAAAAAAGAAGTCTTTTTTTTTCTCCTTCTATCATCTGCTACATTTTCATACAAGACTCTTAGGTCTTTGTTCTCTTTGTAGTGTGCTTCAAAGATTGCATTTTGGAATAAGCTCATCTGGAAAGACACACTGTACTCTCTCATGGAGAATCTATTAGCAGTCATTATCACTTTCTCATTAATTTAGTTAACAACACACATTTAGATCAAATATTTTGTGTGTGTGTGTTTCAGTCCTGATTTTATATTGCCAGTTAAAATTTCACCAGCTGGTGAAGCTGAGACATAAAGATTATGCTCATTTTCCTTCTTTTCCACATTTTTCTCTTTCCATGTTCTTCTCTTATTTTCATTTTGATGATTATTTCTTAGCAGAACTGCAGACCTACAGAATGTTTCACATAGTCAAAGCGGTGATCTATCCCAAAAAGCACTTGATCTTGTAGAAAAGATGAATGGCTAGACAGGATGGAGAATAAGTTCTAAAAAAGGTGATACCAGTAAAATTCTAGACAAAAGAAAGTAAAAAGGCTAGAAGTAGGTTTCAAATTATTAGCATTTTGAGAAAATGGTAATCTAGCAGAAGGCCAGCACAGGAAGAGATCTGCACAGGAAGACAAATGGGAGGAAGACATAAATTGGTCCTCTCCATCCCTGCTGGCATCTCCCTCCTCTGCTCATTACTGAAGAGCCATTTGGAGAGGTGAACTTTCAGTCAAGACTTCAATCCGTCATTGTCCCTTTCCTCCACACTTCTCAGAAATTTATGCTTTCAAGCATTTACCAGGGAAAGTGTTTCACAGTATCACCCAGGCAAATCAGATCAAAACTGCTGAGAACTTTGCACTCAAAGAAACGAGCATGTAAGCTATGTCAGCTTGCTGGGTGAACAAGTCTCCTCCTTGTGACTTGCTCAAATAAAGACAAGACATAAATTGGTTTGCTTTATTAAATCCAAATGCACACTTGTGTTTTTAGGTGCTAACCTGTGTTTGATTCCTGGCAGTGGTCACAGTGAAGTCATGAACATCCCCATAATTAATTATTCATTCAAAAAGTAGCAAACACTATTAAAAAAAAAAAAAAAGCAGATAGGCATCTAGAGGGTTCTCCAAAGGCAGCTATGAACCAATTCCCATCAATTTTCAATAGAAACTCCCCATCTCAGATATAGGTGGGCATTTCATCATGTGATATCTTTAATACCTAAATATCTCTACAGAAATCCAACTTTGGTTAAATGTAACTACTCTTTCTTCTTTGGATGATTGCCACGTGCATTTTAGCTTTTGCATCTGAAAGCAACAATCTCAAACTGAAAACAGGTGCTACGAAACCTATTTAAATATTGATTGCAGAACTGCCGAAATGGGAGTCAGATCCTGAGAGGAAAACACAAATTGATCATCAGATGGCTGGCCCATAAATACTTTAAATTATTCTGTTGACAAAATGGCAGAAGCTGCCTGTTGTGGTGGTACAGCCTCTGTGTGTTGAATCTGATAGTTCTAGTTTACGGCACAATTTAATGCAATTCTGTGGCTGTCAGAAGTAGTTAATGCAGACACCTGAGGAAACACATATTTGGAATATGAGCACTCAAAAGAGTTCTGAAAGGAGAAAAAAAAAATTCCTGAAGATTGTCTAGGTGAAGAGAAAAAAAAGAAAGTGCTTAAAAATAAAATAGGAAGGGCTAAATAGTAAATGAAGAGATGCAACATAGCTTTGGTCTATCAACATTAGAAACCTTTTACTAGTGGAGGAGACTGTCAGAGGGAATGCAGGTCCAAGGAGCTTGACCTCTACAAAAGTCTCTATTTGGATAGTCACTGGAGAATATTCCTTGACTTGTCCATGTCACCAGCAGCCCAAGGATTCCTATAACAATCTTATTCTACCAGGACAAGGTAGAGGTATTGTATCAAGTTTAAAGGCTTTATTTAAAGTTTGATTTCCCTTTGCTTAGTATGGGTCTTGGAAAAGATAAAGGGAATACAGAGGCATACCTGGAAAGTGAATCAGAATTTGGAAGGACTACTTAGGAATTTATGATATACATTTGTACTCTTGCTACCTCATACATGCCAGCTACCTACTTCATACCTGCAGTCATCTGATCCCTTCAGAAATTTGTATTAGTGTCTTAAGAGATAAGTGCTAGAACTTTAGAAAAGATAGTGTGATATTCTCCTAATTTTGGAAAGGAGCATTAAGACTTAATTGAAAGTCTAATGATTCTATGAAAAAAAATATTCAGCAAGATTGTGGCAGTTTGAAGAAGTGTATTAGGAATAAACTCATTTTGTGAAGACAGTATGAAAATCAGGAAAGAACTATTAGACCCACAGCTGTCAAACCACATACAAGAAAAAAAATGGCATGGTACATAAGTTTACAGCAAGGCAGAGAAAATTTATTGCTAGCAGCCCTACTACAGTTAGCATAGCTTTCAACTGAAACATAAGATACAGATCAGAAGAAACTATGACAGTTATTTCTCACAGAGATTTCACTATCAGGGGATGTATCAGAAATTTTGGCACTATGTACAAGATCGCATTGTCA